CTAGACCAACACATCTAAGACTATGAGCAATAAAGTTCCAATCCAGGTGATCATAGCCTTTTTTGAGGTCTACCTTACATTGCCATATAGCTCTTACATCTGTTTCTTTTCCTCATGACATGAATAGCTTCCTGGGCAATGATGATGTTATCATTACTTTGACAACCCTTAATAAAGCTATACTGATTCGATTTAATTAGGAAATCCATATGCTCTTTAAGTTATCAGTAAGAATTTTAGACACAATCTTCCGGTTACATTACAGAGGGAAATGGGTTTGAATTCTTTACCGCATGAAGGTTGATTAACCTTAGGAATTAAACAGATGTTAGTTTGATTGATCTCTTCAATTCTCTGCAAGGATTAGAAAAAATGTCTTTCACAAAACATTAGATTTTATCTTTAATAGCTTCCCAGCGAGTTTGATAAAATAGGGCAGTTAGACTGTCCGGTCCTAAAGCTTTAAAGGCCCCAATTGAAAAGATAGCTTTCTTGATCTCTATATCAGTGATTTCTTTATGGATTTCTTGCAAATTTGAAGTAGATAGGCAAGGGAATGAACTAGGTATGGTTGTTGGATTAGTAAAGTGTTCATTTTGGTGTGTAACCTTTGAAGAAATATACAACCATGGTCTTCAAAGCTGTTTGATCAAAAATTCAGTCACTTTGTTCAGATTTTAGAGCTTTTATTGTTTTTTTTCCTCTTTAGATGACAGTGGCAGTATGAAAAAACCTAGTATTTTAGTCCCCCTATTTCAACCATTTGCAGCTGGACTTTTGGTACTAAATGACTTCTTAGACAAAAGCTTACATTACTCCTTCCATAATTTAGCTTTAAGCTTCTAAGCCTATTTTTATCATTCCTTCCTCTGACCTTATCAATGCCTTCAATCTGCTTAATGATTTATTTTTTCCTTCTTGGTATACTCTCAAGGTTATCATTTTCATTTAATAGCCTCATTTGCAAAACATTTAGTGCCTTCCACCTATGGTATGTCCTTCCAAGATTTCCCAATAACTTCCTCAAAGGTTCTCTCTACTGACCAAGCCACATTATAAATGAATGCAGATTTATGGAAAACATTATTACTATCTATAGATTTTGCTATAAGAAGAACTTGGTGGTCAGACTTATACTTGAGGAAATTAAAAGCCGTATAATGCTAAAACTTGAGGGTCTAAGAAAGATTACAAAAAGCCCAATCCATTTTTTCTTGAATACCAGTTCTTTCCCAAATGAATTTGTCCAATGACAGGGAAGTCGATAAGTCCACATACAAAAAGATAATGATTAAAGCTAAGCACGCTCGCGTCACTTGGAGAGGCACCACCATTTATCACTTGGTGACTTAAAAGCATTAAAATCACCTAAAACAATCTAAGGTTCAGTTATGCAAGTTGCCAAATTTCCAAGATGTTCCCAAAGAGTGATCCTACGGAGTTCCTGTCTTACCATAAATAAAAGAGGCCATCACAACATCCTTAGAAACCAAATCAGTTATTTTATAATGAAGAAGTTAAGGACCAAAGTTGATGTATTTAATAGAGAAATCATACTCCCTCCAAAGAACCCAAATTCCCTAGGAAAACCAATAGCTTTCACTCTAATCCTATTTGTAAAACCCAATTTCCTAACACACAGTTAGCCTTTTTTCCACTGATTCTAGTTTCCACCAGGTAAAGAATATCAATCTTATATTTTTCCACAATATCTTTGATCAAAATAGGGAATTCCTTCCCCCTAGCACCTTAGCAATTCCAAGAAGAAACAATCATAAAAACAACTAAATAGAAGAGTGGAGAAAATATGCTTACTATGTATGAGCACCTAAACTAGAAATAGCTCCTGAATTAACTCACTGCATTTCACAAATTTCCCTAATCTTCAGCTTCTGGTCTCTACATTTGGCCACCCATTATCTGTAAAGAGTTAAGGGGTTCTGGAGGCTCACCTTTTTTCAGAAACGAAAGTGGTTTCTTTAGAAGCGAGATATTCTTGGAATTAATTAAACTGCCACTTCCAACTCCCTTCAAATTATTCACTATTCATCCCTGTGCTTCACCCTTGGATTTTTTTGAATGTCGGCCCATATTTGAGTTACTACCAATAACTACTGAATGGCCCCTTTGTGCATGTTTTGGCATCTTGGATGGTGAATTAAGTCCACGCCCACTCTTAATAGGAGTATTCAGCCCGTCGTGCTTGACTTCATTTTTCTTTTTCTCAATATATTTTGAACAAAATTTTCCTTGCCTTTATTTCTTTGGCTTTTGAAATTTGAAGACATTAAAGCCTCCCTTAGCTTGGTGATACGACCACTTACAGCAGGCATCTTTCGCCTATCTCCCTTTAGTTTTTGGTTTGTGTCTCAAGGCATCCCTTTGTCACTATCAAATTGAGGTTTAGTTTCTATTTCCATCTCTATATTGGCATTTTCCCATTTTGACCCCTCCTCATCTAACTCTGCAAGTGTAGAAAGAAGGGATTGAGTAATCTCCCGACCCTTGCTTTCTGACATCCCTTTCTCTTTCTCTGTATTGGAACGACTTGCTTTTCTTGGTTCTTTCAACCTCCAAGAGTTAGGTTTGTATGGCTCAGGTGTCAACATCCAGGAACCAAAAATTTCTTCCTCTTTTTGATTTTTCTTCATCATCGCTGACGTTGGAATCTAGGTTGGTTGTCCTTCCCTAGAGTTTTGCATACACAAGTCTACATTGATGTGTTGTTGTTGGAAATGTAGCCTTTGAAATCTTAGGCTCTAGGAAAGCTAGCTTTGTTAATATATATACCCTTTCCATTTCTATATATAAGAGAAAAAAAAAAATTGAATCATATAATTTAAAAAATTAATTTACTGTAATAATTATGTTTGAAAATAAAAAAAATTGAACTAAAATATTCTATATTAATCAACGTAAACATCCATTAAACTATTTCTCGTTAATGTAAATTATAAAGGATAATTTAAAAATATATAATAAATACTTATTAAATATGTGATTTCACTTGTATAAAAAAAAACCAAATAAAAAATAATACTTTTTTTATAATTAAAAAAGAGAGAGTGTGTTATATATATATATACACCTCTTCGGCTCACGCTACTAATCTTCTCCTTTAGCTTCCCATCACTGCTCGTCATCATAATTTCCACTATTTCTCTCGTGCTCATTTTTCTTGTTTCTTGTTTGTACATTTTCCAACGCACACAGCTTAATTGATGCTAATATATATATATATATATATATATATATTTTAAACGAGACGTAGTCACATAGTATACCTACCCTAAGAGCTAAGAATTCAGTGACTTGGTTTTTCTGTGGTTGCTATTATTTGATGTTCTTCAAGTTAATCAAAAGAAGGATGATGACGTGACAGGTTTTGGATCGTGGGACATATGATTATTGTGAAATTAAAAGTTGTTTTTGGTATAGTTGAAAGTGTTCTAAAATTAAGGGATGTATGGTTTACTTTTAAAACATTTTTACCAGCAAAGGTGATTTAATTTCGGCTAAAAGTATCTGCCTTTTAATTTAATGGATAGGCTGGTTATACATGTTGACAATAAAATGGAAGTTTATGTAATGCAACTTAAGGGTTATAAGAAGATTTAGAGCAGGCTTAGCTTTCAAAATATATATAAAAATATAATCCTTATAACCAAGATAAAAAAAACAGGAGAGGTCAATATAATTTACTAAAAAATAGAGTACTTCTGTATTTCCAACTTGAAAATATAAGATCCTTTATTTCTTTAATAAATTTTATTTTAGAAATAATTTATTATATAAATATTATTGCATTGTTTACATCCTTAAATGTTTTCTCCTCTTTAATTTAAAACTTCCGGACTACTTGAATATAGCTTGAATAATTAAATGAGTGAAATTTTGGGTAAAAGATACTCCCTTCATTAAAAAATGTAGGGCATTTTTAACCGAATTTCATTCTCAATAAAGTAATTTTTTACTATCTAATTAATTTATTTTTTTATATTTATTTCTATTAAACACCTTATAATAAATATAAAGTCACTGTCAATAAGGACACTTTTTTGAAAAAAAATAATTACACCTCAAAAGATAAAATACATTACATTTTTTAACATCCAACTCCTCAAAAAAATACCTTATATTTTTTAATGGAGGAAGTAATAATTTGAATTAATGACGACAGATCATGTCCATGTACATGTAGGATGTGATTGGAATTTGGTTTAATTTCAAGTCTCAACTCTCAATAAAAAAAAGGAATATTAATAGGTAAATTTTTTTTCTTAATATAAAGTAAAAGTTAGAGTGATTTTTTTTAAATTTTATCCCTGTATATTTATTATTATTTGAATTTACAAACAATTTATTATGATTATTGATAAAAAAAGATAAAATTAAAAAGTCACATATTCTTTTAGCTATTTTAAGGATATAAGTATAACTATGGTTTCATAAACATGAATTCGATTAACTTTATTCTACATTAAAGACAAGAGGGAGTATAATCTAAGAAAGAAATTAAAAGTTAAATTCATTATATATATTATTAATTATTAATTAATAATAATTAAATGGAATAATTTGATTTGGTTGGATGAATGCGTTATGATAGGAATATAAATTATGAAAAAAAAATTATGTACATAGTTTTATATATTCAAGGTATATGTTTTTAATTAAATTAAAAAATGCATATCATTTATATATATAAAAAAATTTAATCATTAATATTATCATTTGGCAAAAAAAATTATAATTATTCTTATTATATCTTCTTGTTTTAAAGCTGTATATCTAAATCTTGTCCATTAAAATATTTAAAAATTGAACTTCTCTAATTCTATTTATGGTATAGAATAAATTAATTTTGATTTTATTTATTAACACTCTATTATTTTTCATCTTTATCTTTATTTTTTTAATTTTTATTAATTACATTATTAAAAATAATTATTTTTATAGCATATGCATATTCTCACTCTAACAAGAGCCGAATCTACAGCTTCTTCCTTTGGTGGTTGGCGGGGTTGGTGAAGAAAACGTCAAAACATGGGCTTTCCAGATTCCAGATGCTAGTGTCTTATTTCGAAATTTGATTTGAAAAATGGCAACTTTTTTTTTTTTTTTGGGTTTCTCTGCCTCCGAAGCCTATTTTCCTCACACTGGCCAGACTTTTGGACTTTCGTGCTGCTCCCATCCGTCAATTCATCTCAAAACTCCAACCTCCCGGGTAAATTTTTCCCACTTCTAGTCATTTGTTTTTATCCCAGTGTTATCCGTTTTCTTCATCCTACCTGGTTTTTGATTATAGGCACTTTCATTATATTTGTAGTTAGTTGCTGATCTAACTTGATTATTGCATCTTTCACACTTCGGGCTTCTTCTTCATCGACGGGTTTCGCTAATTATTCCGCGTCGTTTCTGAAACTGTTGTTATCTGCAGAGGACCTGCTGATACAGCTGGATCATGGCAAACGATTCCAGTTCTAACACTCAGAAGAAGCTTGTTAAAATCGATATTAGTTCTGATTCTGTATGCCCATGGTGCTTTGTTGGCAAAAAGAATCTAGACAAAGCCATTGCTTCTGCTCAGGACAAATACGACTTTGAGGTTTTACACTCTGAATTTGTCTGCGTGTGTGTCTTGCGGTCAAATTTCCATCAATATGCCTTGCTAATAAAATGTTGTTAACTCAATGTTACAGATAAAATGGCATCCTTATCAACTCGACCCAGACGCCCCAAAAGAAGGTGTTGACAAGAGAGACTATTACAGAAGAAAGTTCGGATCTCGATCCGAACAGATGGAAGCTCGGATGTCAGAGGTTCTTTTGCTTTTGTTTTTGTGGGCATAGTACCTTATTCGGTCACGCGTGTTATTTTGTTTCTATTTATTGTCTATTATTCACGTGAACTAGTCCTTTTAACAACATGGCATTTGCAGGTTTTTGGGAAAGTAGGCCTGGAATATAATATGTCTGGATTAACGTAAGCTGGAGAGTGGTTTAATTTAGCATTTTTTCAATGGACAACAAGTGTTTTTTTTTTTTTTTGGTTGAGATTCGGCTAACACTGTCATGACAGGGGAAACACTTTAGATAGCCATAGGCTTATATATTTTGCTGGACAGCAGGGCTCTGAGAAGCAACATCGCCTGGTAGAAGAATTGTTTCTGGGCTACTTCACACAGGGAAAATACATTGGTGACTAGTAAGTACATCTGGTGCATGTTCCCTCATTTTTGTTTCAAATATATGTTGTCATACTATCAGATACTGCATTGTTTTTATTTTTGATGGATGGTGGATTCATCTAAACATGTTTTCTTTATGTGTCACTGCTACGGGAGAGAGTTAATACCACAAACTGACTTCTTTAAAGCTTGTGTGCTTTGTATGTTGTGATTAAGAGTGGCTCTACTTTTCTTTCAATATGGTTCCTTGAAGGTACATTTGGATTGATGAGAAAGAGGAGTGTAAGGAAGGGGAATTTTAATATAGACATCTCCACTCCTTGTCCTGTATCCGTCGTTTTCCTTAATCCCAACAAACCTTAAATGGTAGGCATAATCATTCATTCATCTTGTCGCTTGGTTGTAGTGATTTTCTTCTGGAATGTGCCAAGAAGGTGAACTTAGAAGGGGCAGCTGAGTTTCTTCAAGAGCCCAACAATGGGCTCAAGGAGGTACTTTTCATATAACATATGTATCAGTAGGCTGATTCCTTCATGATGCATTTGGTTTCAAATGACAGCATTTGCTATATATCAAGCCTCACGTAAATCACGTTAATTCACAACTTATGAATGCCGTCGCCAGAACAAAAACTTACACATACTGCTGTTTGCTACAAATTATATAGATATAGATGATTGATGATTTTTCAAACTGCATAGTATTTGAATTTCTTATGCAGTTGTTCTGAACTCAACTTGTTTTCTTTATAATAGTTGGCAGTTAACTAAAGCAAATGATATGACTGCTGTTTGTGATTGACCCTGACTAGGTTGAGGATGAGCTCAATACACCCTCCGGAAACGTCAGAGGGGTTCCATTCTATGTGGTGAGTGTATAAAATTCCATTTGTTTTTTCTGGGTTATTCAGAATATTGATTCCTTTATTTTTTTGACAGATCAATGGAAGTTGCAAAGTTAGTGGCGCTCAGCCCCCTGAGCTCTTCATGAAAGCTTTTGAATATCAAGAGTAGAGTGTGCCACATCTTCAAGTTGTACAGTGCTGCTGCTGAATAAAGATACATGAGACGCTGCAAAAACATTGCAATATTATACTGCCTGCAAACTCTTCCAATTAAGAAGATCATGTGCTCTATTTTGGATCCCTCCATGTTTCTTGTCTTGGTATTCGAAATTGAAACCGATAAATATTGTGTTGTGTTGGCATGTACCATCAAGTGTTGGGGTTTTAGTCTTCACTTACTGCATAAAATATAATATTTTGGTGAAAAGCCCCATATGGTATTATAAAAATATGAATATCAGATTTCCCTACAAAAACGCGCACATAATTCTTCCTACTTTTTCCATGTAATTAGACATTTTTTAATACACTATAAGATGTTTGAGGTGAGTTTGTACTATCTTATAGCTGGTTTCCTGTTCAAGTGGACGCCCAAGAAAATTTAGGACATTTTCAAAAAGGGGTCCTATATTTGGTCAAAAAAAAGGGGTCCTATAATTTTAGATTTCTCATACATGTATGGCCGAAATCAATATTAACTATATTATATAAAATTTATGAAAAAGAAAAAAGAGAAGAGATTATGTATGGGAAATGGTTGAATTGGACTCCTTTTTTCTGTTTTGGTGAACGAATGAGTAACGATCTGAGGATCGGAGAAGGCATTGAATATTCTAATTTGGGTGGATCTTGTTTTACTGCATCTCCATATTTGCAAGCATTCTAGTTTTCCCATCAGCGTGAACTATGGCGGAGCTTATGCTTTCTTTGTCTTTCGATCATCTTTCTAAATTAAAATTGAATAGATCAAACTATTACTCTTCATCTTCGATAATGAATTCTATAAGCGTTCTTCTGTCTCACTGATCTCCCAAAACTCGCAGCCTGCCGGGTATACAACTATACATTCAAGTTTAATCCCTTTTTTTTGCATACACTCTTCTTGGCATTCAATTACAGGCACTTCTTGTTTGCAGTTTTGAACTATTCTAGCTGACATATTGCGTATTTATCATCTTCCTCATCGCTGAATCTAGTGATGTTTGTTTACTGAGACAGCAGATTTTACACAGCAGGACCGTGCCTAACACTTCCAGTTCCACCCCTGAGAAGAAGCTCGCTAAAATTGATATTAGTGCTGATACTGTATGCCCATGGTGCTTCTTTGGCAAGAGAAATCTAGATAAAGCCATAGATTCCTCCAAGGACAGATACAACTTCGAGGTTCTACGCTCTCTGTGCTTGTATGTATTTTTCTTGTATCCAAACATCTCTGGCATATACGTTGCTCATTAAAATGATGGCTTCAAATTACACATAAAATGGCATCCTTATCAACTTAACCCTGCTGCCCCTAAAGAAGGCGTTGACAAGAGAGAGTATTACAGAGGGAAATTTGGATCTCAATCAGAACAGATGGAAGCTCGGATGTCAGAGGTTTTTCTTTCTGAATCAAATTCATTGCTTTATTGCTGTTACTACCTGTATTTCTGATGAAATGAGTAGAGCAAGATATTCCAAATTTGGTGTTTCCAGGTTTTTGGGAGCGTGGGCCTCCAATATAACATGTCTGGGCTGACGTAAGCTTGAGAGTGCTTTACCTTAATTTCTTCAATGGAAAATAAGCATATTCTGGTTGGATTCAACTAAGAAACTCTTTTTCATCCACAGGGGGAACACAATGGACAGTCATAGGCTTATATATTTTGCAGGACTGCAGGGCTCAGACAAACAACATCATCTTGTTGAAGAATCGGGCCTTGGTTACTTCACACACGGAAAATACATTGGTGACCAGTGAGTACTTTGGTGCATGTCACTGCTGGCTGACTTTTATAAAGATTGTGTGCTGTATGCATAGGAGCCGTATCCAAGAGTGACGTGGGAGATGAATGCTCAGTGTGAACATGCAACTAACCTTATTTATATGTTATAGAAAGCTGTATTACTCATGAGACATGAACAATGTTACAATGCAACTTTATATCAACTTATGTGTCGCTTTGGGATTCATTGGTAGTAAAATATATCTTCAATTTTTACATAATGATATTTGTCTTTGTATCTGGTTTCGTAAGTGAGGCATTATTGTGATTTGGTTGCAGTAATTTTCTTTTGGAATGTGCTGAGAAGGTTGGGTTGGAAGGGGCAGCAGAGTTTCTTCAAGAACCCAACAATGGCCTCTGGGAGGTATTTTTCACTCACACATATGAATACTCCTTCATGCAGCATTTTGGTTTCAAATGGTTGCTTGAATTTACTGCTCTCCGTAGAATTTGAATGGATGAATATTCTCCATGCTTACCTTGAAACTGTTTAGTTGTCAGGCAATTAAACAGGTTTAGTAGCACTGCGTTTGCTTTTTCGACTCTCACCAGGTTCAGGATGAGCTTAATAGAGGAAACGACAGAGGGGTTCCATATTAGGTGGTGGGTGGATTAAATTGGAGTTAGTATTAATTATTGCTTAAAATGTTTCAATTTCAGAATGTGCTCAGAGCCCATCAAGCATATTGATTCATTCAATGAACTGGCAATTACTGGAAGTGGCAAAATTGATGGTGCTCAGCCCCCTGAGGTGTTCGTGAAAGCTTTTGAATTTGAGGAGTGAAGTTTATCGCATCTGCATGTTTATGCTTCTGAGTTCTGATGAAAGTCTCCGTCTTTATTGCATTAAAGTTTTTTTGTAACTATGATCATTCCACAACTCTCTGACTAGATGAAGATAAATGATGAAAGATAATGAGCCACTCCATCTTTATGATCGTTTTGTATGTGGTTTTTTTTTTTCCTTTTCCTTCAGTGAATGTATGATTTTTCTGTTTCTATTGACCAAAAAAAAAAAAAAAGAATGATGCTTCTGAATAAGGTGGAAGCCCATATAAACATGTGTCAAAAGAAATAATGCGACGTCTTTTATATATCTCATCTCACTTGCTTACGTTTATTCCTAAACAGTAATAATAAACTGACCAACATTGGCTCTGCTATTTAACTCCAAACGCAGTCCTTGATCTCTGCATCCCGTTGTTAAGCTTCGGTTCCCTTTATCTAGAAGTTATAGTGATTGCCATTAGTGTACATGAAACAGACTCACCATATCAAAGTAAAACACAGACGTATGGCAGTTTGAACAGGAAGAGTTTAGAAGGTCAAAGCAAGTAATTAAGAACAATCCCCCCCTTTTTCTTTTCTTTTTTTTTCACGTAAGTACGATTCTGAGACAATCTTAATTGTATTGAGAAGAAAAATTGTACATAGAGGCCAGTATCTGTACTCTGTATGCTTCATTGCAAACTAAGGAATGAAGGTTGAAATTGAACGAGAATTGATCACATTAAGAACAAAAAATGACTTAAGTTTCTCCCCAGCATCACCAGTTCTAGCAACGGAACAGATAGTTGCACAGAAAGCTGAAGTATGGATGGATCGTAGCCACTTCAATTCATGGGTGGTCATGTTCGAATTAACGTCTCAAAATAATTACAATTGTTTATACACGTTTTAAGAAATACATATATATATATATATATATATATCCGTCTAATCTCATTTAAATATTTATATTTTAAATTTGAACTCCAATTTATTTTTAAATTTAATAACTACTGTTAAAATCTTGAAACTATTTTATTCAAAAACTTACTGGCATAATTATATAAATGAAATTAGTGACCCAGAAAGTACATAAGTTACTGTTTTACTCGGTGCACACCAGCAGGATGCAGTAACCCAACCAAATACCAAACAATGCAATCTAGTTATAGTGAACAGATTAATTCTAGTCTTCGGCCACCGAACTCATCTCAAAAGTATGATAGGCCTGAAACTCGTAAGCATGTTACCACAAAAACCCAGAAATAAGTACATTTCTGCTGCGAAGGCTAAACTCTTGAAAGCATCACGAAGTTTAGATCTCAAATTGCATTTTCCTTTTCCAAATTTGGACAGAAGGGGAAGGAATGAAATGTAAAAACATCTCAAGATGAGATTCAACGTACAGAGATGGCAAAGAAAACTCGTATACTCACACTGTACATGACAATCACTCTGCAGTATTCACAATGTCTACTTTCCTCCGTAACAGGCTTCATCCACATCACAATCTTTTATGTTCAAAATTAAGTTGTTTCATCGAATACCATCACCTACACCAACGCCAAAACATGATTAAATAACCAGTCCATCATATATCATTCAACCATTAACATGGTTCTAGTGTAGTACTTAAGCTCACGTATCAGAAAATGTTCAACCATATATCCTCTCAAGCCAGGCTGGGCTCAAATATTAGTTTGATCGATACAAAATAATATAATAAACCATAAAAGATTGTATGGGTAGTGTAAATATATAATACAGAAATATGTATATCCAAATTCACACGCATAAAATTGTATAATTGAAAATGGCGAGCCAAACGAATTGCAGCAGAGTGAGCACCCACTTTTCGTTAGTTCAACTTTTCAACTTCACTCTCACCTCTCAACTCTCAGAATTGGCTCCGTTATGGATTTAATTGTAGGCCTAGAAACGTTCCTATAAGCACTCCCAAAAGGAATAAAATTGGGACTTTGACTATCCTATAATACTATCAGGAACAAGACTTCATAAAAAGGAAACTGCTTATTCAAGCATGCTACCATCAACAGGCACAGACTGCCTAGTATTATTCGTGTTGTGGGTTGTGGCAACATGAACGGACTTGACCTAGTGAGCCAACTAATTGAAGCATTCTGAGTCGTCAGAATGCTGCAAATTACTGTTTACTACATAAATTGCATGCTGCAGTTCAAACTGACGATGCCAACACAAACAATTCAACCAACAATCAGTCATTTCACTCCCAAATTGAGACAAACCACGCACTATGAATCATGTTTTGGACAATTTTGGCAACCACCACGATAAGTACAGGCAGTAAACAAAAATTTCAAATGCTGACGAAAAATTAACTTGATAGTTCTAAACACAGGTGATTACAGAGCTTGGCAATCTAATTCTCCCTAAATCTGGAAGAATTCTAATTTTGAGAATAAAACCATAGAAAAACTGACAAGCTAATTCCACATACAAGCAAAAGCCATCATCTACATTGAATGCAATATCAAAATCACCAAATTGGCCTCAATCATAGAAGCTTCCCAACCAATTCTGAGGTGAAAGTGGAGGTGGAACTGAGATTTAAAAGTATGTTTGGTAGACTGATAGAAGTGGAATAAAAATTTTATTTAATATATGTAATTATATTTTGAAAAGACCATAATACCCATGAAATTAAAAAAAAAAAGAAAACAAATGAATCAGACCCTTCGACACCCTCCATCGAATCGCTGGTGTTGACACTAAGACCAGCAACGCAGCACCATCAACACCCCACCCCGTCAACAACAATGTCAAAGGAATTGCCAGCAAGACCAGCAACGCAACACTGCCAGATTTCTTAGCACGAATTAGGAATGAAGTGGTGTTCCTTGGAGCAAAGGGAGCAAATCAACAACAACAAGCCTTTATCCCATTGGGTGGGGTCGGCTACATGGATTGCAAAACGTCATTGAAAATCAAGACTAGGTTTGAAGGGGTTGCACACACAGATATCTTTTTGGGATAAAACCTTCAACCTTTTTGGTGACTAATGCAATTGTTAATGTCAGGGAGAATAATGGAGGGAGCCCAATCTAGGGGTGAGGTATAGGGAAAAATGAGGTTCAGTCATCATCCCAGGGGATGAGGTCATCACCGATCCAATTGCAGCAGTCATCTTCGCCACCAATTTGGTCCTCCACCATGTGGCTGTCAACAGACATTGTCAGCGGAGAATCTTGGTCGAACCTGGAAGGAGAGAGGCTAGAGGGTAGAAGTAAGAAAATGAGAAAAGAAATGAGGGTGGAAGTGAGTTCTTTGGGTATAGGGATGGAACCCACTTCCATCATTTTTGGTGAAACCAAGTTCCATGAAGAAGTGAGATCTTGTCTACCAAACACCTTATTTTTTTTTTAATTCCGCTTCCACTTCCCCAAACCCAATTCCACTCTACCAAACATGCCATTATTCACGAGTAAATCCTTGCATACAACTCTAATAAAGTAGTAGAGGCAGTTAAAAGAAGCTAATGATGAGTGACAACAAAATAGATCGGATAGAGTGTGATAATGTAGGATCCTAAGTAAACTATTAGGGTGTCAAGACAGCCTTGAGATTCCATTTATTTTTCTGCCTTGGTAACAAGAGAACAAAGGCAGCTGATAACAAACATGCTCAGTAATTACAACTATCAAGCTTCACAGAAAACTTCAGCACATAATATGCTGATTGGTGATGAATTGACAACCATTTCAGTCAGAAAGAAATCAAAAATTATCAAGAGGAAAAGCTACCTTCCCACAAACTGGACAGTTTTCACTTCTCTCCATCCACTCGTAAATGCAACTAAGATGAAAATGATGATTGCACTTTGTCAATATCCTTGGGTTCTCTTCAGTATATTCTGCGAACAAAAATTAACAGTATAAACATGAAGCACCATAAAAGCTCCTCTTATCTTAATGTTGCATGCTGCACAATCAACAAACCGATTATGTTGCATGCTGCACAATCAACAAACCGATTATGCATAAACAAGCCCAACTTCAGTTGTATGATGAAAATTCAAGATTAAAAGACATTTCTACCTTCAAGACAAGTTGGGCAAAGATCCTCATCTTCAAATGATGCATAAACAAGCCCAGCACCAGTTGCATATTTTGCTGATGAGAACCTTACTGAGGACTTAGATCTGTATTCCTGTGATGCATCTTCACAGGTAGATCCGTTCCATTTGCCTCCAGAATTTAAGGATTCTTGATCCCCATCCACAGCACCTCTTAGAGGTTCTGACTCTTCATTCAAATGACTAGAACCTTTGTCATGCCTTGAAACAAATAAATGACGTGAGCGGAAATGCCTGGGGTCTACATCATAAGGCAAGGGCCTTGGTGGAGAATGGTACATGTCAGATAGTGAATTATCGAGTGATGCTGCAGAAGTCATAGATGCTGCCCCCTGTATGGATGAAGGTAGTGAATGCACTTCGCCTCTGCGGAATATTGCTGAATACTGAAATTTGATACAACAGGAATCAGGTTATGTTTATATCATCAACTAGAGCACTCATCAATAACAGAACACATCATACAGAAAAGTTATTGCAGGGCTTAAATATTCTACAAACGACACATCAAGTAAATTAGACTAATGGAAGCCCAAAAAAAAAAAAAAAAATCTTCACTTTTACCATGTAATAGGAAATTACAAGTTGCTCCCATCTGATTTTGTTTGTGGTGTTAAGATGACAAACTTGTCTCTCCAAATATTGGTGAAAGGTAACTCATTTTAAGGGTCAATTAAAAATTGTAACACTCACATAAACAGCCCTAAATATTGGAGGATCAGGAGGCATGCTTATGACACTCGAGGGATAAAAGACCAGAACAATGAAGATGAAAATGTGATCAATCCCCCAGAAAAGTACTTCAGTTATATGTAAAAAAGATTAAAGGATGCAAATGTAAATCTTTGCTTAGAAAAACCACATGCAAGAACCAGAAATTATGTTAATCATACATGCCACTCCATAAGCACAGAAATACTATGAAAGCACTATCTCAAGTCATGAGGGAAGGCATTGAGATCAAATTATGGTCAGTTATAGACAAAAGAAACAGAATAAAGGATGTACATATACACCTTGGCAAAACCTCAGGCCTGGACCTGAAATTACAATAAACCAGTATGCTGCTCCACAAGCAAAGACTTACATATAAACAGCAATGTCTCGAGTCATGAGGGAAGGCATCAAAATCAAATTATGGACAAATAACAAATAATATAGATGACAAAAGGTATTAGAAAAGGTGAGAAGAGGCTACGGCATACCGCATTCAAAAAGTTCTGTAGGAAGCAATTGAGACACACACAATTCCTATATACAGAACCATTTCGATTTACATAATCTTCAAATTGATCAGCTCTCAAGCAACAACAAACAGAACCCATTATGCCAGCTTCTATCTCCCTTCAGCTTAAAATACTTCCCTCTTCAACTGATCAGCTAAAATAGATAGTGCAACATTCAAGTGTTGAGAAAAAGATCCTCCAACAGCATATGCTGTGCTTTGATCAATAAACGAGAGAGGATTCTAAGCTCGCAGAAGTCCCGCTGCCCCCGCAAACCAGCACCCTCCCTCTTTGATTCAGATGCCCCTGCAAAAAGAATAATCAGCTTACACTTGTCTTTCTGACATGAAAAGTAAGGCAGAATCTAATGAAAGACTCTAAAATAGATGAGAAATATGTAAGAGCTGTCATTCAGGCGATTCATACAGCAGTAACAAGTATTTACTTACAAGCACCAAATGATGAACACGACGTTAAAAGTGGGGAAAAACAACCGAGAAACTGATTTTTTTTTTCTTTTGTTGTTTTTTGGGGGGGGGGGGGGGGGACAACATAACAAATTTAATTGCTTCCAGGAAAAGAGTTAAGTTCTCTGCCACAAACTGACAATTTCGCCTTTACATTGTTCCTCCGATTCGGGAAAAAAAGGATCCTTTCCTCCGGTGGCGAGACACGCCGATGGATGAACTAACAAGAAAATCATTGCTTTCCTATGGAATGATCGCTATTACCAACGACATGTCGACAGGCAATCAAGTTTAACCGAGGACTACTAGAAAACCTCAAATTAAGGGAGAAATCGCATTCAAATTATCTAAGAGTACCAAAGAAGAAAATCGACCGAGAAAATTGACGGAAAAAAATACACCCACTCGAGTTTATCAAACCACAGGACAATCGGAGTGTTCAAATCCGCTATCGGAATAGAAAATCAAAATTGGGCGAGAGACATGTTTTTAGAAAGAGCAAATACCTAAGCCAGACAGACAGAAAGGGAGCAGACTAGGGAGCACATTCAGTGCTCATCATTGAAAACAATCTCTGGACCACTCAGAAGTTTTTTTTTTTTTTTTTTTCAAATAAAAATCTGCAATTCCCCGAATAAAAAATATAAGATATTTTTTAAAAAAATTAAATGTTAAAAAAATATAAAATATTTTTAATTTTTTGAGGTGTAATTATTTTTTTTAAAAGTACTTCTATTAATGAATAATTTTATATTTATTATAAAGTATTTAATAAGAATAAATATGAAAAGATAAAATTAGTTTAAAAGTAAGTAATTATTTTATTGGGATAAAATTTAGTTAAAAATATTTATATTTTTTAATGGATAAAGTAAAATTTAAAATAAATATATTTATTATTAATATGTACAATTTATATTTAATCAGATTAGTCTAAATTTAATATTAATTTTTTTTATAATTTTATAAATTGATGATACATATTTACTCTGAGTTGTTTTGAATTTAAAAGTATAACAAGTTAAAAATTTTGAATTTGAACATTACAAACTAAATCTGTATGATTAATTTATCAAAAATTATAAAAAAATTAATATTAAATTTGAATTCATCTAATTAAATATGAATGATTCATGTTAATAATAAATATATTCATTTTAAATTTTATAAATTTTAATTAAAAATAATTTAATCAGGACCATCTAGATTTCAAAACCAAACTATTTCAAGGGGTCATCAGTACTAAATGTGCTCCCGAACAAATTATTAGAGAGATAGAAGGTTATAATTTGTTAATTTAATTAAAATAATGGATAGCCTATCATATTCAAAAAAAATTTAGGATTGAGTTTTAAAAAATATTTTTTTTATGTTTGGGCTTATGTACCCAAATAAAAAAAATTATATCTTTAAAAAAAAATATAAAATGTAATAAATATTAGTTAATATTTTAAGTTTTAGGTCATTTTATATTATAATATTATATATTTAAGTCCTATAGACTATTTAAGTATCCAAAAAAATATATTTTATATTTTAATAAAATATAATAATTAATTTTATAGTAAAAAATTTAATTAAAAATAATTTTAAATATAAAATTCGAGTACTTGGGCCACCTAAAGTCCAAAGGAATTCAAACCTATCTTAGCTCTTTGGGCTTTTTCAAAAAATTAGACCTATTTAGGTCAAGTTTATTCAGGCTGAGCCCGGATTCGCTCGAATTCCTACCTCTAGCTATACTTATTCCTCAATTTTTATTCAGTAAGTTAACAGCAAATTATGACAGAAAAAGTAAACATAAAAATTGAATATCTAACATGCCATATCCTTTTATTTTTCATAGGGCATTTTATCTCATTGTATTGTAGTATTGTAATACTCCCTTTAAATTACAATATAAAATATTTTTTAAAAGCTTTGCTTGGTTCAAAATATAGGATATTGAGTAATTTTTGTAATTATTTTTTCAACTATACTCCGGCTTTATTTATTTTTTTTAAAAAAATGTATTGAAATTTTAGTTGTCAATATCAAGCTACTTACATAGGATATTTAATAAAAATATAATTGAAAAGATGTAAATTTTTTCAATAAATTTAAGTTTTAATTAACATTTTTTGAAAATTGTAAATTAGTTATCAATATCTTATATCATGTTTCGAAGGGAATATGTACATTCATGTTCCAAAAAAAAATGAGCTTCAAAAGTTCATCTTGTAGCATATAATATATAATGTGTAGTATGAAACAAAAAACACCAACAGTTCTAATGCATTAATATATAATGTGTAGTATGAAACAAAAAATACCAACAGTTCTAATACATTACGTAGTTTAAATATAAATAACTTATTACTAAGATTATTACGACTAGGATGAAATATATTCTCCCTAAAGTCATTTCTCCTTACCAATGTAGTTTTATACCAGGGCGCCACGACTCAGATGACATCATAGTGGCCCAAGAGCTTATCTACTCTATGTGTAAAATAGGAGGCAAAAAGGGTTTCATGACTATTAAAATCGACTTAAAAAAAGCTTATGATCGTCTGAACTGGAACTTTATCATCTCATGCCTCAAGGATATACAACTACCGGACAAGATTATTGAGATTATCGAATACTCATTGTCTTCTCCATCTATGCAAATATTGTGGAATAGTAACCGTACCAACTCCTTTACACCAACTAGAGGAGTTCGATAGGGAGACCCAATCTCCCTGTACCTCTTCGTTCTCAGTATTGAAAAGTTGTCTCACCTTATTCAGCAATGTTGCCAATAGGGTAACTGGAGACCAATTTGACTAGGTAAGACTGGCCTTCTTATCTCACACCTTTGTTTTGCTGATGATATCTTACTGTTTGCTGAAGTTTCAGTGTGTCAAGTTGTGATGATTAAAGAGTGCCTGTCAGTGTTTTGCAAAAGCTTAAGGATGAAGGTTAATGCTGCAAAAACTAGAATCTACTTCTCTAATAATCTTCACAATGTGTGGCATGAGGAAATAAGTTCACTCCTTGGCTTCACCCACACTATTGATCTTGATAGATACCTGGGGGTTTCGCTTCATCATAAGAGAGTGGGAAAGGAGACCCTCCACGATGTTGTTGATAAAGTCAAGACTAGATTATCCATATAAAAAACAATGATTCTGTCTCTGGCCGGTCGACATACATTGATATCATCAATTTGTCTGCAATATCGGCATACATCATGCAGACAGCTCATCTTCCTGTGAGTACATGCAATAGTCTCGACCAAATCAACAGGAACTTTCTGTAGGCCGCATAGCTGAACAACGTAAAACGAATCTGGTTGCCTAGAAGGAGGTGTGCCAACCCAAGAAATATGGTGGCCTAGGATTATGCCATGCAAGGTTGTAGAATAATGCTCTTCTGATAAAATTGAATGGAACCTCATCAAGCAAAAAGATGCATTTCGGGTGCATGTGGTGAGAGAGAAATATAAATGCAGACAAGACCTTCTCCCTCACATCAATCCCAAATGAAGAGGGTCCAATCTATGGATCGACATTAAGTCTACCTAGGAGGATGTTAAGTTGGGTTTGGAATCGTGAATAGTGGACTCCAAGCTTGATGGGTGCATGACAAGAGCGGTGACTTTTCAGTCAAGTCTGCTTTTTTAAAGCTGGTCCAAGTTGGGTCAACGGTCGTAACTGGGAGAGGATTTGGAAGCTTCATGTTCCACAAAGGTGCAAGATGTTTATCTAGCTAGTGGCCTATGATAAACTCCTCACTAATGGTTAAAGGAGAAAAAGAGGTATGACAGACGAGGAGACATGCAGGGGATGCTATTTCACTAGGGAAGACGCATTACATGTTTTAAGGGACTGCTTGAGTACAAAGGTACTTTAGAGAAGTATTATCGACCATAAGCTAATGGAAAATTTTTTTAGGCTTCCCCTTGATGAATGGCTTGATATTAATCTAAGAAAGGGTAGAAGTGATAATTATGAAGACTAGGCTATGATGTTTTTGATTCTTTGTTGGTTTATTTGGAAATATCTTAACATGCAGATTTTTGAAGGGAAAGTTTTAACAATATTATATTGGCTAAAGCTAATGCTATTTACAAGTCCCTGGCAGTAATGAGATAAAAGTTGGCTGGGATGAACGTGAAAGGTGCTCCAATTTGTCAAGCAGAGCAACAGTGGAAACCTCCAGATCATGAGTGGGTAATCGTAAATGTTGATGGTGCATATTCTCAGGCCTTACAGAAATAGGGATGCAAAGATCTTATTCGAGATTGCCATGAGATGTTTATAACCAGTTTCAGCCACAGTATGAATGAAGGAGACAGCCTTTCCATGGAACTTTGAGGTATTCTCCTTGGAACTAGACTTGTATAGGACAACGGTTTTCACAAAGTCGTAGTGGAATCAAATTTTATAAAAGCTATTAATCTCGTCTACTCTCCTAACACGACCATGCATGCTAATGCAGACATCATTCACATGATCCATGATTTCAAGCTAAAACCTTAGGATCTCCATATTAGATATCTTCCTCGAGTAGCTAATAAAGCGAAAAATTATCTTGCCCAAAGGGCCCTCTCCCTTGGGTTGGGATAACAGCATTAATTATCCTTCTGATAGTCTACTTTGTATTTTGAATAAGGACATTGAAGCTTTCCATGGCCTCTAGTTGAGGTCTTGTTTATGAAAAAACTTATTTTTTAATTAATTAAAATAATGTATTCACACACATCTCTTTTGGTTAACGATGGCACATTCATATGGAAGACAACATACATAAAAATTCTTGAAATTACCTACCTATCTTGGAGTAGGCATGCCAAAAGACCAAAAATTGCCACTCTCCTCTCTCTTTTACTCGTGACTATCAATTATCCCCATGCATTGCATGGTTATTTTCTTGCATACAAAAGTTTGTGAATAAAAACTAGAAATACTTTTAATATAGTTCAGACTAATTTAATTTAACTTGTTGACAATTGAATAAGTAATCTTTAAAAAGATGGAGTAATGTAACAAAATGTCTGAAGTGCTTGATTTGTGGGATTTAGGAGAATAGAATTTATTGCAAGAGTGCAGCATTGACAAATGGAGACAAACAAATGGATGAAAAAAAATTCATTTAACTAATGACTTTCTAGTTGTCTATTTTAGATGATCTCTTCGTAAACTAGATTTGTTATTGAAGTCCATAATATGTTATCTTTGTTATGGATTAGAATCTTCAAGTTGCTAATAGACTTTACTCTTAAAATTGTAATGTAGAGTTGGCCATGACATGAGAGAAGATAGGTCTCAGGAGATACAATCCAACATATTTCAAGGATTGACCTTGATTTTTGTTCATCTTCATTACGTGACAAATGGTAATGAACTTTCTGATACATTCACGTATATTTTGTGTAGGAGAACTTCATATGTTGCACATGATCCATTCAATCTAATTTCTTTCAACACATGTTTGCCAACATAAATGATTCTCAATCTAGTATCGCTGCATA